TGAAGTGTTTGTTCTGCAGTGAGTGAGTGAGTGAGTGAGCGAGTGAGTATGGTATTATGCCTTTATAGCAATATTTCAGCAATATCACGCCAGGGAACACCAGAAATGGGCTTCACACATTGTACCAATATGGGGAATCAAACCCAGGTCTTTGGCGTAACCAGCGAACGCTTTTAACCACTAGCCTACCCCACCAACCCTTCTGCAACGCAATGGAACTGTATTGTATTATTGCCATTTTCTTGTAAGTTATTATGTCCAGGTGAGACAAACCAAGGGTTGATACCATGATCACCAATCAAGGATGTCAAGGTACACCATAAAACATCAAGGCCACAGACTTACAAATATAACAGGTAATCACCTCTCATTTTAAGAACACATTACCCAAATATATTTCTTCAACATGTATGTATATTTATACATATTTATGTATACTCCATCAGATCTGTGTTTAGACATGATTTGTTCGTCAGCTTATGATAGGTGTACATGTACGTTAATAATCCTCAACAATCAACAAACATAAATCCATCTATCTATAATGCCAATCTGAACATGTTGGCGCCAACATAAAGAAAATGCTTGTGTTGAAATATAATTACACCTCTGTCCACACAACAAAATCCTCCACGGATTGTTTAAGGAAACAAAACTTCAGACAATCTTATGAATGCAGATTGACATCAATGTACAACACCAACAAAGGCTGTTGGTCTTGCACCTATCTGGCTTGAAATAGGATGCCAGCAATATCATTGATTCTATTTGTGGTTGTTTTATAGGCAGTGATACCTCAATTAGCTATGTTTATATTCAGAACGTGAATCTTAAGCCTGGTATCATTTACCAGTGTTATCCCATAGTGGATGTGTATACTTGATGTATACAAAGTGTTCATTCCCTTGACTGAACCATTGGCGCCATTTTGGTAAAGCAGATTAGGATGGGTTAACAGTAACAGTAGAGGAAAAGTTCTCCCTGTAAAAACTTCCTGAATTCTTGCCCATATGCGTATTCTTACCCGTACAGATCAGTTAAGGAGTTGATTCAGAGAAATAGAGATTCAAATTTACAATTATGTGGAAAATGTGTGCATAATATACAATTATGCAGAAAATGTGCATAATTATGTATATTAAAGCAATACTGCAACAATATCATTGCTTAATTGGAATGTTAAGAACAGATGTTACAAGTATCATGATTGTATCCTTACAATACAACTCAGGTCTGTGGTTGAACAGGAACCGTTTTATTTAACCACATGTAGCCTACCCACTGCCCCATCCAATACAAGCTACTATATCTTTCTGTGATTACACACTATCAAGAAATGACCAATACTGACACTGATGTTTCAAAGATGCATACACATCAATAATACCCGAGGAACAAAAATTACATAAATAGTTTTTATATTAGCCATCCAACAAACTGTATTCAATGGATACATGGGCAAGAACATGTATATTACACGTCAGAGTATATTTCAGAAGAAAAAAAGGATTGAATTTCTTTATTAGATAAGTATGAATGATCAACATATATTCTCTGACAAAATATAATTCTTTGTGGGTAAAATTATGTCTAATTAAGCATGGCTGTATTTTAAGGATGATTTGCTCCTGCAAAAAGATATCTTGGAGACTAAAGAATTAGCACACCTCTCTCCTAATGTGACAGTTTAAACCACACCAAGCCATGCTATAATGTCTTTTAAATTGGACCAGCTGGAGCAAAGCCCCATCTGCTAATGGCAGGAGATGCAGGGTCCTCCTTCCCATTGGTGATGAGTCTTATCTAAACTCATCTCCTACTTCCTGTGGGGCCAAATAATGACTTTCACCACCAAGTGTGTTCTGGGGTGTCCCCAGTTGACCTGCTGCAGTCATATGCTCCTCATTTGCTTAAATTGGCTGCCATTTGCAAACTGAGGCCAAGATATAGGTTTTCAACAACATTTTACGAGCACAAAGAGTGGGATAAAAATTCATATATCGCAGCTGGGACTGGTTATTAAGCAGGTGATGCTTTGTTAAATAAGTCACTCTTAACATAAAATAGGAATTTTTAATACTATTCATAATTATTAGTTGTTAGATTACTATTACTCTTTACATAATTAAGCAAGCTTACATCTTAGATCAACTTTACTTAATATATAATGGCAAAAACTGGGGAAAATACCAATTTTTTTTCATTTTTAACATGATATAAAAACTGGGGAAAATGCCCCAATTTTATTTTCATTTTTAACACGGTATAAATGTACATCATTTATGTGTGAAATGTATCTATATTTCTTGTACCTACTGTGTAAATATTTGTAGCTTATAGAATATTGCCACTGTTTCTTCATGGAATGCTATGCAATAAATATCTTATTATTACAATTGTGTATAAAACGTCAAATACTGATACTGCAGGAAAAGTAAAGTACAATAATACTATTGAAATAAGATTAAATTTGGAGCTAATTTCTGTTGAGAAATGAAATACTATAGAGACTATCCAACAATCTAACTGGCTGAATGTTATGACATACAATCTGACTTCTAAACAGAAGAATTCTCAACTTTCATCCAGTGATGTCAGTGATGACAAACATGTGGTGACCTTCACCTTTATCATGTCCAGCAAACATGCTGAATGTGTATACAACAGGAATAAACAATACTCCAGATACATACACGCCAAGAAAGATCAGTGGATAAGAGGGTGTAGAATTACAAAATCACAAAAGGTAACTGTTTTCATTTTCCAATGTTTACTGCCTAAGTGAAAACATTTACTATGCTGAGCTTTATTAAGTACTTCTATTCAACAGCTTGGCACTAGTATCATCATAGTCAGCGCATTCCTTCATCAGGCATATTGATATAGGCACCAGTCAGCTGTCTATTTCATCTTGGTATATTCCAAAATTCAGTTATCAAAGACCTTTCCAGGCATATTTTCAAAGCCAAATTTAATATTTTAAATTATTCAAAAGAACACACAGAAATTGTTCAATTTGAAGACTACAAATGGAGTCCCTGAAAATAAATATTTTAGAATTTCCTTGTTTCTACCTTCTCTTAATATATCATTGGGCCCACGGAGTTTGTCATCAGGTATATGTTATACCTTAGACTGTAGCATATGTCAAACCTGATTTTGTTATACTCTTTACAACATGCCCCATTTGGGTGAACATGTGCAATAACATCATCCCATTCATGTATCTCAATGTCAAGAAAACGTCTTATCTCATGCAAGAATAGGTGAACAAAATCATCTGGCTTATGCAATATCTGCATACCTTTACTGATTTTCTTTGATATGGTTGAACATAAAAATATGCACAAAATTTAAGGCCCCTATGACACTACTCCAATCAATAAGACATCCTTAATAAATACCTCTTTTAAATGCAACATATAAATCCTTAACACCAAAATTATCCCAGTTAATAATATTGCATAACCCTATTTCATAGTTTGTGTATTTGTCTGTGGTTTACCAACATACTCCACTATATTAAAGCTAAAGGAAGGCAGTCCAATATACACAAGTCTGAACCAGACAATCCAGTGCTTGATATTTTGAGCAACCATCCACACTGTCGGTGGAAGAATGACAACAATCAGCCAAGTCACAAAGTCATTGATCACAACCAGTATAGGCTACAGGGGACCACCTCTTCTCTGTATCACCCATAGGGTCCTCTCTGATTGGTTAAGAGGACTTCACTGTGCTTCCGTATCAGGTGATTACGACATTTACACAACACATGCCTTATAAAAAGTGTTAAACTACACCTTCACTGATGTGCCTCAACAATGAACACTTGACACTTCAACTTCCATGCATGACAATGATATATAATGTAAAGTCACATAAGGTCACTTAATGTGACATGACCACTACAAAATACTATAAAACTATTCTAAGACTAAACTAAAGAAATCTGTCTCCGTGCAAACTAATGTAGAATATATGGCATGTAGTAGATATCTATATTTGTAAGCAACAAATGAATCAAGAATGAAATGGTTATATTGGCATTTTTCATAGCTGTTGCAGGAATAAAATGCTGAATGGTAATTAAGCAAAGCATGGGTTTGGCCATTAGAAAGATTGGGCAGATTATGGCAAATGTTTTAGCAGGTTCTAGTCGCGACTGCAATATGCAAATTTCATGAACAATTATTTGTACATAAGAAAAATTACATCAATGAATTTGATTAAAATTATTTGAATTTAAAGAAACACATCATGCATACAATCATGCAAGATTATATTTTTTGAAGAACACAAACAATTTGGACAACACACGGACATTTACAAAACTGAACCAGGCAAACACGAATCCGAATAAATATTGAGGTTTACTTTTCATGCTGAAAAAATATTCAAAATGACAACAAATTGAAATTACAATACTGAAACAATATCAACTGTTTAAGCTATAATATATATGAATATCTTCAGAATGACTTCTGACAGCAGAGGCAGAAGCTTGTAAGCCAGGAAGAGTTGTCTCCCTTGCATCAGGAGGCCTCTGTTTCAGGCTGAGTTGTTTTATAAAGCATGCTTGTGAGTCACACACATTTTGCATTTCTTTCTAGTTTTGAAGCTTAGACCAGAGCTGTGTATTTACTTGTATTACAATGAATGTGCTGATGTTTTACATCAGTTAAAAGAAAAGCAACTTGGGCAAATGATAACATGCTTATTTCTTACTTTAAAGTATTTTCAAAGATGTATTTAGGAAATATCAACCAAATTTACATAACCTCTTTTTGATAGAATTGTTTAGAAATAACAAACTGAAATATGATATTTTGTAACTGTGCTTTCTGTTTGTGGTAAACTCTCATCAAAACTGGTCTTGGCTGACAGAAAGAAAATTATTACATAATTACAATCTGAGAAAGACTCGATGTATGTGACTCAGGTGTGTCTTGAACAACCATGCAGGTTTACAGGGTAATAAGCTTGTTAGTCAAACTTACTCGGACTTTTCTTAGGGGATGTTTTGGAAACATCTTTGTGAGATGTTTCCGGTGTTTTTTTCTGAGGTGTTTTAGACGGAGCTGGTTTCCGGGGTGCTAAATCAAAAGTTATAAAATATGTAATCTGGATTACATATGAAGTACGTACTCCAGGACTCCACCTTTGACGGAAGGTCGAAATACTTCCACATTATTCATGGCAGTATATACCAACAGGAGTATTTCTTTTGATATGAATCAGGGAGAAAGCTGCAATTATTGATACATGCATGACATTCTATTCTTGCTGCTCTCTTTCATCCGGATTTCACAGCTGAGAATTGCTGTATGGCTCACATGTTGCCAAAGCAACAGTTATACCTAATCTTCCTGATGTCACTAAGCCAAATGCTCTTTATATACCACTGCCATTGTGACTGACCGAGTTTGGTTTTACGCCGCTTTTAGCAATATTCCAGCAACATCACGGCGGGAGACACCAGAAATGGGCTTCACACATTGTACCCATGTGGGGATTCGAACCCAGGTCTTCGGCGTGACGAGCGAACGCTTTAACCACTAGGCTACCCCACCGCCCCCCACTGCCAGTGTGACTTGTAACAGTGGTATGTAAATATTCAAGTCTGGACCAGACAATCCAGTGCTTGACTTCATGAGCATTGACCTAAGTGAATAATAAAGTGTCGCTGAACAGCAGTTCAACCCCAGGTCTTAACATATGTTAAAACTTCGATAATTCATCTTATTCAAAGGTTTAGAATAGATTTTAATTTGCAGTATTTGCGACAAAAATCATTAAGGCTGAGCTTCTCATTGCAAACACATGATTCATGAGTTAATTTGCCATGCAGGTTGCGCATAGAGCGTTTCTTCACCTGATTTAGCAGTCAACATTGCATCATGCATAACAGGAGGGCATAACAGTGGTATATATCATATAGGTATAATAAATGTGCTATAATGATCATATTAGTTACAAACACACTGAACTGGATATATATGAACATTAAATAATGACAGTGATGTTACGTGAGGGAATATATGAAGACTGTAGATTCAGGTATATCGAGTATATCAGGTACATATAGGTATATTAGGTACAGGTATACCAGGTACATATAGGTATATATGACAGGTGTGTGGAGGTTACCTGGTGGGGGTATGGAGCTCTTGACATTACTGTACTTCTTGATACGAGGAGTTTCTGGTTTCGCAGAGTCATTCTTCTTGTTCTTAGCATTCTTCTGCTTGACAGATCCCTGTAAAACAGAAAAATATCTAAAAATATCACGTGTGTACAGGAATTACCATAATTCTTTCTATACTAGCCACATAAAGAAACTGTGCATTGTCAAAATATTATCCCAGTTGATAACAATGTTAAAGGTACATATAAACTTTAATGGAGGGATCATGAGACCATAACAAGTCGGGAGAATTTCAATGGAAAAGTCAATCACAATGACGTCACGAGTCCACAAGCGGGACAGGGGTCAAACGACCATGTCACAAGATCAATAACGGGTATGTCCACCATCGGCATTGACAACAGCAGTGCATCGACGACGCATAGAGCCTATCAAACGTGCAAGGAAGGCTTGTGGGATGTCACAACAGATTCTCTCAAGTTCTGTTGCAAGGTCAAGGACGTTATCTGGCGGATGAGGAAGACGGCGTAGACAGCGATCCATCTCGTCCTAAACATGCTCTATCGGGGAGAGATCCGGTGAATTTGCAGGCCAAGGCAGTAAGTCAACGCTGTGGTGTTGCAAGAAATCCATAGCAACCCTTGCCGTATGAGGGCGGGCATTGTCCTGTTGGAATGTTAACCCAGGGCCATGACGTTGCAGAAAAGGAATTGCCACAGGTCGAAGAATCTGATCCCTGTAGCCCACACCAGTTAAGTTGCCCTTAACAATCACCAAAGGAGTTCTTTGGCGTGCTGTTATTCCACCCCAAATCATCAAGGAACCACCACCAAAGCGATTCCTCTCCAAGACACAGGCCTGTGCATAACGTTCTCCCACGCGTCTATAGGCGTTGACGTCCATCACTAAGGGAAATATTAAACCTGGACTCATCTGTAAAAACATTTCTCCACCAAAACAAGGGTCTGCGGACATGATTTGGCACCACATTCGGCGAGCTTGTTGATGACGTTGTGTCAGGATAGGCCGTATGGCGGGACGTCGTGGTCTGATCCCGTGATGACGTAAACGTTGTCGAACAGTGTTGGGATGGATACGGTGAAGTCCTGGGATGGTTCAGGCAGTCATCACTGCAGTCTGAAACCTGTGGCGAAGATGGGTCACCCTTATCCATATGTCCTGTCTTGGCGTTGTTACACGTGGACGTCCAGAACGTGGCCGATCGATGACGTCATTTGTGTTCTGGTAGCGTCTCACCAGTGCAGAAATGGTGTTCCGGTGGCAGTGGAAATGTGCAGCCACTTGTCGTTGAGACATTCCCCCACGGACCATCCCAATGGCCTCATGACGTTGTGCAGACAGGAGCCTTGGCATGCTATGCGTTTCAATAGCCGTTTAATTTTTTGAACGATCGCAAGGGCAGGGGTTGAGCTTTCCAAAGTGACAGTATTGTGTGGCATTCATTTGCTCTGTTTCTCTTTCCCGGAATGCACGTGCAACAACGTATTGCACGTCTCAAGGACGAAACCCACTGACGTCACGGAATGTGGCACGTGCATGCATGTTGGATACATGTCACTAATCTCTGAGTTTGAATCCTTATGTGTCTACACAGGTTTGATAAATTTAGATTTTAAATTTTTGTATGCACAGTTTCTTTATGTGCCTAGTATACATATTATTTCTTCAATCAATAAGTAAATTAAATATTTGATTTAATGTGACTAACACCTTTAAAGAACAATATATATATATATATATAGGCAATATATATAATTGTCACATTGTTCTCTCACACATGTAAGAATTGTCAGGAAAGTATAGGCCTGAAATCCCATGAACAAGAGATGCTGGAGAGTTATTCCCCTTTAGCCACCATCATACAGTACTGACATCACCGAAATGTTTTACATGTTTAATGCTACAAATCAACTGATAGTCTGGTTCACAGTGCTTGAATTGCATTATATTGCCTTCCACCAAGCCCTTTCTGCAATGCTAAAGCCCTAACTATAGCAAGTCTAGATTTCCTCAGGTTCAGGTTCTGAAGCTCCCTTCTCACTGGGGCTCCTTTTCAATTCAAAAGGAATTGCTTGTTTCTATCAAAATTATATATATTCAGAGACTAAGTATTTGTTTAATCAACCACTACTGTCAGCCTATTCAGAGGTGACATAATAATGTCATCAGTTAGCAGTGTCAATAATGGATAACTTCATGTAACACTTTCTCTGGGAGTTACTATCTCATTGGCAATAGTTCAGCTATATTGTAACTGTTTGCAATGCATTCATATCACATCGAAGGACATTACAATAACCACTCAGATCCCTGAAGCTACCTACACAGTACTCCAAGTCAGCAACATAAGTCAGATCTATTAAAACATTGGCATATGTTCATATATACTTTGAATGATGTAGTTTACAAATCATCAGATTAGGTCACCAACCCAACCCCATTCGAGAGCAGAGTCATATAATACTGTCTCAGTGAATAATTTTACCAGTTAATAAGTTATGTTACTTTGTACATACAAACCCGTGAAGGTCCGGGTTAGAATGAACCTTCAGTAACCCATGCTTGTCGTAAGAGGCAACTAACGGGATCGGGTGGTCAGGCTCGCTGGCTTGGTTGACACATGTCATCGGTACCCAATTGCGCAGGTCGATGCTCACGCTGTTGATGACTGGATTGCCTGGTCCAGACTCAATTATTTACAGACCGCCGCCATATAGCTGGAACATTGCTGAGTGCGGCGTAAAACTAAACTCACTAACTTACTCACTGTACATACAATGCAACTCCTTCAACAAAACTAATGAGTAATTGGGAGCTATACTACTCTCACAGAAAAACTTTTTGAGAAAATAATTGATAGCAATATTACACAATAAAATATAGGCTTCAGTTATTTTCTCATAACTAGGGACACCCAGATCCTTAAATATAAATATATACAAAAATAAATGTGAATATTTTGTGTGGCCAACAAAATAATGATTATCTTGCATTGCATGCCAGCCCAGTGTGGGAGGAAAGTGAAAATTGTTGCTCATCTCAGATAATTATCACTTTGCTGAATTCATTAACATAGATTTGCTGCTGATATACTAATGAATATTATTCAAGGTGAATTTGATGATTACCAGGAAGTGAAACCCTCACCTGAGAGGTGTCAGACAGCGTGCTGGCAACACTGGGTGGCCGATCTGTCTTAATGCTGGATACTCGATTGGTAGAATTCCCTGAAACACAGAAAGGTGTCATAAGAAGTCATATGGATATCAAAAGAGGACAAATCCGCGTCATGAGAGACAATATATGCATTATGATAGGTCAAACATGAAAGGTGTGTAGAAAACATTAGTCAATTAACCACATAGTGTCATGTGACATCATACAAACTGAAACAGGTGTCATGTGACTTCACACAAACTTAACCACAAAAACGTCATGTGATTTCATACAAACTGAACAAGGTGTCATGTTACATAATATAATTTTAACAAGGTGTCATGTTACATGATATAATTTTAACAAAGTGTCATGTTACATTATATAATTTTAACAAGGCTTGACTTCATACAAACTGAACCAGGTGTCATGTGACTTCATACAAACTGAACCAGGTGTCATATGACTTCATACAAACTGCACCAGAAAGTGTCACTGACTTCATTCAAACTAAAGAAAGCGTCATGTGACTTTATATTTCCAGAAGCCAATGTAGATTGTGTCTACACATCACAGATAATGTGTGACATTGACACAAGGTAGTGTCTGCATGTAATTAGGCAATCAGTTACTGCTTGATTGATCAAGAAACATAAAGCTGAGTCAGCAGATACAGTCTTCATGATGGAGTGAACCTTCCCCTGCAAATTTGCCCCAAGCAAAGCATTTCATTTAAAATTACATTAAGGTCATGATAAATTAATCATTATATTTTCATATTTCTCCCCCATTTAACACCAAGCCACATTTTATGTACCCACAGAAAATGAATGATTGCTTTGTACGTTCACTTCTTTCTTTACATCATGAACTTGAGCCAAACATACATGCTTTAATGAAACCTATTAACTGATAATTATTGACCTCAGTTGACATCAGCAGTTAGTTTACAGAAAAATAGAAGTACGATGAAATGCATTTTTAATTTAGTCGAGGAAATATATTACTGCAGTTTACATATTACTTTTTACAGTTTCTACATGCAACCCACCTGAAGTTATTAATGTAAATGTAGACCAAAAAAATAATTGTTATCACTGAACTACATGTCTCATCTTCAAATCAAATGTTAAGCAAACCTTTTACTAAATAATACAACAAATTCCCTGCCTTATAATCAGATATGCTGATAATTGTCAGGGAGGACAATGGGAGTTCTTGTATATCATGTACGCAATATGAATGTAACTTGACAGTTATTTGAACAACATATGCTATAACTGTCATAAAAAAAATTACTTCCATCACACTGCAAGGGTGTTACTGTCAGATGTAATAATCAGTCTTCGGGGAAGTGATAGGTATCTCATCAGCTGAAGTTTACCTAGCGTCCTGTTCCATAGATTGCTATGACGATCATATATCCTATGCTTTAACATAAGCTTACAACAGGCACAATGCCAGGACCACTTTGTGGAATGGAAAATGGGAACACGTGACACTGTCATTGATGCGCATCAACAAAAAGGATGACGTTTGAAAACAGTTGCTGCGGTTAATAAGGTATATAGACAGGTTATTATTGAATAAGTAATTTTAAAGAAAGTATGTGTGAAATGTTTTATGAAGGATTACTACAAAAATATCAACTTCTTGTGGTAAGAAACAAATGATGTTCTGATATTTCTCATTGATGAGTGAGTGAGTGAGTGAGTGAGTGAGTGAGTGAGTGATTGAGTGAGTTTGGTTTTACGCCGCTTTTAGCAATATTCCAGCAAAATCACGGCGGGGGACACCAGAAATGAGCTTCACACAATGTACCCATGTGGGGATTCGAACCCGGGTCTTCGGCGTGACGAGTGGACGCTTTAACCACTAGGCTACCCCACCGCCCCTCTCATTGATGAAATCACTGACCTCAACATCTGGGATTTGAATCAAGATTCAGTGGATCTTCAAAGGATAAGGGGTCACAACTTTGCACAACAGTTTGTCAAGCCTTACAGCACAGAATTCATCTTAATGAATTATCAATAAATGAACACGTTTAATATTCACTAAGCATTTACTTGATGCCTCCATCTCTACGCATTTCTAAAATTAAAGCATGAAATTATCAACACTTTGTAAATTGACCAAACACTTTCTCATCAATATACAACTTACTTATGTTTAAAGATTTAAAAATGTGGCTCCAAACCAGAAAGGATTAATGCTTCAGTGTCATAGACAGGCACTAACTATGCCTGTATCCAATGGCAACCATCATACTGAAGATTGATACTCTGCTACAACTGAATGGTATAATTAAATATTTCTGTCACTTAGGTAATGCCTCACAGTTCCCCCTGCCTTGCCTCTTCAGCCATACTGCCCATTAGAGATTCATCCATGATGATGGTGTGAAACAGTCTGACAACCATGATAGATCTCTCAACACCTTGTCATAAGAGCTTGAAGCTTCTACTTCTTGCAATGTTGTTTTATTCATGGAAACATTGGTATTTAATCATATTGTTTCAAATTAAGCAGATTCATCCAGAGGCAGTGTTTCAGATGAGACTTTTAAACAAACTAGTGAATAATACATTTTTCAGTTTTTGTTCTACAAGACAAAACAAGACTAGTTCAAACAATACCCTTCAGTCACCTTGGTGCTATTTCCCTAACCACTACAGGACTCATGTTGCATATGAGCAGGCAGGTATACTTCAATGTAATAACACTAATGAATCATAATAACACTGAATAATCACAATTACCTTTAATACAATCAAAATAACTTCCCTAAACACCATCTGCTTTTTAACAATATTCATTGATGACTTCTTTGATAGTTTCAGCTTCCAGATTGCACCTACTGAATGAATATACCACAAGATATCACTACAATCACAAGATATCAGTGAGTAACATTCTCCAACTCTTACTATCCTTCAGCCATGGGTATGGATATGAGAAATGAGAGATCAAATCCAGGACTAAACAAACCAACACTTCAACCAAACACGTGGCAATTCCAGTTATCAAATGCCAATGAAGCATAAATCAAGAATATTTTCCTACTCTCTGCCCAACTGTCCAATAAGATAGCTAACATGAAATGATCTGGAATACCAGTTTGGAATAATCAAAATTAGCTTTAAAAACCTCTGACCAACATGCTTATCTTTGCTTGGGATTACATTTGAATTAGCATAAATATCACAATGTTTTCAGGATGTATGATACTGGCAGTACTTACATGATACTGACACGTACTAATGGTAGGGGTGTCACTGGTTGTATGTTGATGGTATTAATATACGGACTCGTAAGTATCATATTATATTGATAAATTGATTTAATTAAAAGATTATATATTATGTGGTGTACACAGTAAACTATATTTACAACGAACATGATTACAACGAATTGACGGATACAGTGAGTAAGTGAGTGAGTTTAGTTTTACGCCGCACTCAGCAATATCCCAGCTATATGGCGGCGGTCTGTAAATAATCGAGTCTGGACCAGACAATCCAGTGATCAACAGCATGAGCATCGATCTGCGCAATTGGGAACCGATGACATGTGTCAACTTAGTCAGCGAAACTGACCACCCGATCCCGTTAGTCGCCTCTTACGACAAGCATAGTCACCTTTTATGACAAGCACATGGGTTGCTGAAGACCTATTCTACCCCCGGATCTTCACGGGTCTGACGGATACAGCAAACTGTTTAAGTGACAACTACTTCAGTCAAAATGTGTATAATGAACTACGTTTATTATAAACGAATATTCGAGGTCAATCTGAGTTCTTTACAACCATAGTTACTCAGAAAGATCTCCTACATTAAATGTTAATAGGTTCATCCAATGACATCCATCAGATGTTAAGAATTGAATTTACAGCCTTCTCATCATGCATCTTATCACTGCTAAGATGTAAATGTTTGTGTTGTAATGAATTATTCAGAAAGTATAGATTTTCATAAATTTGTAACAAGCCGGTATTAAAACAAAACATTTCCCGAAATGATACCATAATATCATACATGATACATGCAGAGACAGTATGATTTAAATGTTCATGAGTTATAATACCTGCAGCCCGAGCCTTGGCAGCTTCTGCAGTCATAGTGAAAGCACAACCCATTCTGGTCACCAGAATGTCAACTGTATGTGACGACTATATGTTAGAATTGCCACCTCATAAGAAACACATTTTGTCCAAATGGATCTCATAGCCCCTTTACATCCATATTGTTGTTTACTCTTGGAAGGGAAGGAAACATGCTGGATAACATTATCATAGTAAATATCAGCCAATCAATGGGCACCACCAAGGTCAATATGACATCGTATTACCAGAGAATAGTTCCCAAAAGTGCAGGATTTTGGTGAATACTGGGGGTCAACCCATCTCCTTGAGGACAAGAGTCATCATTTGAATGGCACCATCATCAACCGAATTCCATAAAAATCAATCAGTGACCCTGACAGCTCTCCACAAGCAGATGGCATCTCCCTTCGAGACATTTGGCAACAAAGAAATTCGGCAACATCCTTAGCGAGAGAAGAACGTCACAGTGGACAAACACGCGAGAGAGTTTCTGGGAAAATGACCGTTGGACACTATTAGAAACCATCACTTCCGCATAATTTCTGAGATGCTCGCGACTACAATTACATCACTATTGGCACGATGTCAATACTGAGGAATCATGGGAAGCTATGAAAATGGGAAAGTGTCCCCAGGAGAAATAATGTGGAACTGGCACTTTCTTTATTATCTTCACATCCAATCCATATAACTGCATAAGCGTGGGAAAAACTAATCAGAAAGGCCAAATAATTGATAGTTATAATTTGTCCAAAATATTAAATATTACAAAAAGTTACATTTAAATATGAGCAAAGAGTTGTACAAAGTTCTTATCAAGTTTAAATTCTTTCCAGTGAATGAAACATATATGAACAGTGTTCAGGATTTATTTAATACTGTACATAAGGGGATCTGTAATTTTGTTGTTTTCATGAATGCCAAACTGAATATTTATGATAAGTGCAATTTAAAAAAAGCAGTA